AGGAGTACACAAGTAAAATTTTGTGAAGATAGCACTTACCGTTTTAATTTTGTGGGTGTGCCCAAATTGGGCACACTGATTGAATAGAGCTTCGAAAAGAGTGCTGAAAGGAGCGGCGATTAGCATACAGCCAAAAAAATAACATAGAAATTTCTTTTCAAACAATTCCTCTTATACCCTAAAAAATCTGGAAGATTTCTTTGAAAAATGAGGGTCTTAAAAAACTAAACATGACTAAAATATATGGACTGGTTTGTGTTGAGCTGCCATCCTATAAATAAAGAAGGTTCGGAGTAACCTATAGTAACCTATAAATCCTTTTTCATTCAATTTTTCTGTGCGTACAGGAGGAAATTTTTAGGTGTGTCCAGACCGGACTCACTGTGCCGCAAAGGGTTAAGTACGGATCCTTATTTTGCGTTGTTGCAGGCGTACGACCTTATCCCGATCTTCGGCGAGCATTTCCAGTTTCCAAAAATCCTTTACATGTTCTCCAAATGACAATTTGAGAAACCCTTAATGCTTCCGCGAAACAAATTGCGTTTGATCTGCATCTAAACGACCTACCGCCCTCCAGACTACCTGTTCAGCAAAGTCAATTTGCTGAGACATCGTATTCATTGTTTCAAAGTATTCAAAGTATTCAAAGCTCGTCAATTGTTTTGAATCGCCTCCTACTGAAGGAATGCTGCGGGTTGCTTTTGCAGTCCTTATCTAAAAGGCATTAGAGTAAATTGTAATCAATATAGGCGTTTTGCCGAGACAATTACAAGTGTTTCAGTTGTCGCGCGCATGAATCACATGAATGATTGAAGAGGGGGAAAATATTTTCAGCCAATCAGGAGAGGCTGGCGCTTCTCGGCGTACCTGAAAAGATATAATTTGCAAAATAATAGTCTTTGTAGTTTTTGTAGTGCTGAAGGCAATGCGCGACATTTCGTCGAAGATTGCGTATTATTGCGACATGTTAGGCAAAAACATTGTAACATAAAGGAATTCTACTGCCGCAATAAGGAGTTTAAATCTGCAAGGGATTTGGTGAACTTTATAAATGGCAATAGAACAATATTGGGAATTTCGGTTCGATGTTTATAACTGCATTTTTGTTTTAATCTGTATTGGGTGTTCTACATTAACCATGAGGCCGATTATTATCGACCAGAAGGGCTGCAGCGCACTCGTATTTTACGGACTGTATAGGGGTTAGGGAAGCCTACTACGGTACCCAAGGGCCCGGGTTCAAATCCCAGGTAAGACATGGACATGGATGTTTGTAAATGTATAGTGTCGGTGCGGCAGAGCCGTACTCTAAATATGCGGTGAGCCGAAAGTCCTCTCGTGTGAATTGGTGGATGAGGAGAGGGGTGGGAGATCCCTTCCCGGGATGCTCTTCCTCAAAACTGGGGGCGGAAAATAGAAGTCCAACCTCTCTTCGGAGTAGGCTCTGGCAAACACTGTTCTATGTAATATGGACACGACAACAACAGCATCAAGCACTACGGAATTCCGTTTAGTAAGATAAACTACAGAAGGAACTAAAGAAGTTTAAAACGAGCTACAGAAATCCTTGTAGAAATGAGTTGTCTTGATGTGAAATATTTCTCATAAAGCTAATCTCCCTTTTTCATATACAGGTTGTAAGGATTATGTTAATTTTATTAACAGTTAAAGTTCCTTTCCTGTCAAATTCTTAACTTCAACTTACTACTTCTGGCCAGAACGTAGTTTTGGAATTTGCTGAATATTTAATGAGAAGGAGCGGTATTTAAACCACGAAGTTACTTACCGAGACAGAGAGAGAAACAGAGTTTCTGAACTACGCGCGTCTGCCTTTTTTTGGCCACTCTCTCTCTCTCAAAGCTGTTATACGCTCGGCCGTACTCAGGCCCTTGCTAAGCTTCGTAGTAAAATAGGTTAAGGGGCCAACTCTCATTGTACCTTGATAGCGTTGGCTATACTTAGTTAGTTAATCTTAGTTTTAGTTTAATTCTTAGTCTTTTAAGTTCAAGTCCAAAGTGCGGACTTTATTTGTTCACTCCCAGGCGGAGTTTTGTGAAATCTTATAGAAATAATAAAGGGTTATTTACCCTTCTCTCTTGTTGTTTCCTGTCTTCGAACTCTAGCGATTATTCGCTTATCAGTTCCTGGGTTCCTCACTTCCAACATTAACTTAGAATTTCAAGTGAGGGACCTTACAAGGTAATAAAATACTTTCCATATGTTTCTGTAAAGAGTCTGTTTTCCATCTCTTTCTAGGTGTACTGGTTTATCAACAGGATGAAATTAAAAGAAAAAAGGGAAAAAAATGGGATGACTTATTGTTCGTCTCATTCCTGAAGTAAGCACAAAACTTTAAAATTACTGTTTGAAATACATTTTATTCACTTTACATAGATTATTTCTTATGCAGCTAACACTATTATATATATTGATTAAGTATTTGAACGTTTCGCTTTTGTTACTAATAAATATCAATGTATAACGACCGTGGGGTGATTTGGAGTCGAAAGAGTATACAGCACATACAAGCACTATAAGCTTTGAAAATAGTGCAAAATGTTCATTCCAAATTTAGATCTAATAATAGTATTTTGTCTCTGTGCCTCCGATAAATTACGCTTTACCGTATTATTTGTAACTAATTATTCCACCATAGTTGTATTACTTAATTGAAACAGTAATGTCGTATTAATTTCTTATGAAAATGCTACCAGTAGCTGAGTGAGCTACTGCTAACTACCGCAGTAACCCAGAATGCGGTATTCTAGGAACCGCATTCTTGGCGTGATTTCTGATGAAGAGGGTGACTGCAAGACTTGATTCGCAGCTTTCTTCGTGTGTAATTCAAATATGAAATTAAAAAAAGATATTTATGCAAAGTCTATCATTAAAGCATTCTTTTTCAAAATTAGCCCTAGTTATCATAACAGCTAATCAACCAACAATTTCACTTGATGATATTTATTCATTATTGATTATATATATGTTAAACTTTAACAGTACTGTATATTCCTAAATTGGTCTAGAGTTAACTTTTTTTTCGTTAAATACAAACTGAACACAGGAAACATTTTTGGTCACAAGAAATCTAAAAGTTATACTTCCAAAATGAAGTAATTATATTTAATTAAATATATATTGCATGATAATTTTCGTACCTCTTATTTTACTATTTAAGCGCAGCTTTATTATTCCATATATTTTAATATACTGGTCTCAACAGGAAAAAATGGAAATGACCTAAAATAATTTTCTAAAAATTCGTTAAACTAGTTATAAACAAAAACAAAAATATTGCACATTATTTCCAAAATATTATTCCATTAATATTTTATAAATGACTTGCTTTATTATATTGTATATTTATAACTTAAGACATATTTATAATTTTTTAAGTATCTAATGTAAAATTTATTTTATATTTATTTTATTTTGCCCCATTTTTATACAATTTTGAATTATGTCAAGTCTTGCTATTAAAGCAGCATGAATCTGCTAATATAAGTTTAACACAGCTCTTGACAAATTTTTACCTTGATCATGTAATATGATGCGTAAATTATGAAATAAATTCTTTTGAAAAACACATTATGATTATGTTGTTGGAATTTTAAACAATTCTGCGTGTGTATGTAAGTATTAAAAACCTAATAATAATAAATAATTAGTAAATTTTTCATAAGCCTTTGATTTTAGATCTAACAGTGTAAACATAGGTGAATACTAGCCAGTTTTCTATACAAATTCCTCCATAAATATATGCTTCACTTTAGGGAGATAGCTTTTCATGCTTTACCATATTCCACCAAATCAAACGGTACAAATACACAAAACATTTTATTTTCTTTAAAAATTAATGCAGGAAATAAAATTCAGTGCATTTGTAAACTACATTGGTTTACTTGTAGCATGGCCTTTATTTGTCTAATGATTTACTAGTTCAAACTAATACAGAATCAGATATCTTTTCGATAAAAGAAAGTTGGGAAAGTCTGATTTTTAGATAAAAATATTTTTAGACTGCCAAATACCTTTTTGATGATCTTAAAATATCTGACTCTTGAATGCTTCCAAATTCTAGCACGGGGTTTCTACTGGTATAAAGTTTTCTGCCCTGATGTATGTCATTAAAGATTATGAAACATTTAGCGCAATGTATTGCGTGTCTCAATGTAAAAACACTTTTATGCGGAATTTATATGGAAGACAAACATTGCAATGTAAAATGTAAAGTTTCAAATATGTGTACAATGAAAAAGAACTGTTAGCATTGATTTTACATAAAACTATCCATTTCGAGAACAACTGAAATAGGTCCCTTTTCTTCGGAATTTGGTATTTTGTTTTTATCTAGACGGGATAAACATCCTTAGCGAAGTCTTTGCAAAAATTTTGAACTGTTATGTGCTACCACACACTTATGCACTTGTGCTGGCAAGTGTTGCAGTTATTAAAGCTTTTAATTAATTTTACTCCCGGCCTCTCATGTAGTCAGTTCACAAAAGTTGCCTTCAGGAGAACATGAGATTTTTAAATTAGCTTTTAAATTTAATCAGCCTCTAGATACTTCTTAACTATCTGAGCAAGAATAACTTCTTGAGAAGTTAAACTTTTTTTTTTTCCTTTTAAAATATGTCCAATAAATACAAATCTAATTCATAACACACCCAAGTAATGATTTTTATGAACATTTATAGCTTTACTGTGATTAGTTAAGGTTGGTTCCAATACCATATGTTATACATTTAAGTAAAAATTCATTTGTCATGCATTTTTGAATAACGGGGGGGGGGCAAATTCAAGTAAGTCCTAAAGTAGTAAACTTGTTTGATTAGATTTTGATTTATCATAAGTACTAAACACTTGTAACATCTAAATACTTGCGATTTTTTTAGAAACCTTTTACTAGGAATATTTTAATAAGGGCTAACTAAAAGTATATATTAACAGTAGTTCTCAATAAAATGATTCTTTCAATTTATAGATTTGAATACACATACATAGACATAAGAATTGTTTTTGCTCTTGCTGTCCTTTCTCTTTTATGACTTGCTATGAAAGATAATTCCACATTGCACTGGCTTCATCATGGATTCCACAGCAAATACTTCATAAACTTCCATGTTCTCCCTATAATAAAAAAATAAAAGACAAAACTTTATAAGGAGCTTCATAGATTCATACGATTATTAAAAGTCGAATGAGCATAACCGAAAGTAAAAATTATAGATGAAATGATGTTAGAAACATCAATAATGATATTTCTGTAATGAGGAATGTATTCACGTTACAAATACTCAGAAATTTTACAAAAACCCTTAGCGAAGGCTTTCAAAAATAGAGGTAGGTTTACATTATACTGCATTCTTTCGTACTTACTTTAATACTACAAATAGTTAACTTGTCCAAGAAGCAAGTGTCCATGGTTATGTCGGAATCACAATGACAGCACTGTTGAATATTCATATTTCCTGCGCTGGAAAAACCTGATTGATTCACAATGAAACCTGAAATAAACTGTCATGGACGATAATTCGCATCACTTCGATTTGGTAAACAAGGAGGAGAATGTAAGGAATTAATTTCACTTCGTCATGCTCGTTGTGGTCTCCGCACGCGTGGTAATTGGCACATCCAGATGACATGAATGTCCTTGCCCGTCTTGTTGGCAACCGTGGTTCAAATCACCGTCAAGGAATAACTGATTTTCCTCGTAGTCCTGCACCAAAATAAAATTACAGTGATAATGAATGTACGCTACCATCAACTTATTATTCATTAGTCTTGCAAGCACAATTCTTCCAAATGCACAAAACCTTGCTCTACCGCATCTCACAAGTCACCTATAGTCAAGTATGCAGTCCGTTAGGCTTTTTAATATAGAAGAAGTCAACTATACTCTACCAGTGATTCGAACTCCAGTCTTTCGTCTGCTAGCCGCATGTGCTACCACTTACAATACAAAGGCATGGAGTGGGGAAGAAAAACTTTCCTTGAACAGTGACTTCGAAAATTACTTTTGACCATCGGAGTTGATAATCACCGTTGAGTTTCAGTTTAATTTCATTTGAATAATCAACCTTAATTAACTGAAGTGCCTTTACACAAGCAACAGGCAACCATAGATTGCCTTTCACCATTGTCTTTGAGATTCACTTTCGTTTTTGTTTTAAAAAATGTCTTAATATATTAAGTTCAAAATACTTTTTTTTTTTTTCGTGCAGTACGTCCAGTTGATAATTTTCATTATTATTTGTTGCTTATCTTAATTAATAAAAGATTTTTTGTCGTTTTTTTTAGAAAGAGAATTGCTAACTCCCCCTTTCCTCCGAGTTTTAAGCAGCTGTCTATCATTATCATCCGCCCGAACTTTCATTTTTGCTGTAAAGACAAAAACTGTTTCAAATATATTGCCCAGTTTGGGCTCCTCCTTTGGTGCAATTTGTCGTCGGCAGACGATTTCTATTATTGTATGGCCTATTTAATCAAAGTTTAAACTTGGTTCTCAATCGTGCCATTGTTTCTCAATAAAGAGTCCAAAGATGTAAATTTATAAGAAATTTTCTTTTCTGAAAAGCAAAATGGTATTTATATATTATATTCTCTCCCCTCCCCAATACATTGAAAGGAAGTGCTTTGAGATTTTATTGTTATTTTATTATTCGTGAGTTTGATGTCCTACCAAAATAGAAATTATTTTCGCTTGAAGAAAATATTTGTTGCAGACCTCCTGAACAAATACGTCAACGAAATAAGCGCAGAGTTAACGCCTTCGAAAATTAAGACGTCTCTTTATGAAAAACAGGCACAAGTCTGCGCGAGAGTGTTAATTTACAATAAAATAACATCATATGTTATTTCATTGTTAACCATTTAGTTTTGACATTTTGAACAGCTCATTTTAAGTGCATGATTTAATATTCGAAATTCTTTTAAATTCTGAGGAATTAATTGTTAAATAATTAAGCCTATCGTAGCTACGTATCTCAATTTTTTTTTTCAGTCGTTAAACTGAAATCTTCATACCAAGATCAACTTGATGTTTTCTTTAATCGTATGATTTTTGCACTTTTAGTAGCTTTAAAAATTTTTGAAATTTTATTGACGTTATCAACAAAAACTGGTAATATTTTAATAAAATCTTAAAGATGCAACAACTTTAAAAGATTTTTCTTTTTAAAATATTATATATATATATATATATAAGATAAAAAATATGAAAAGCAAACTTCCAAATTTAATTGGCTGTAACCTCTTTTATTACTTCCTTGTACGAAATAAGAAGGAAGTATGGTAACCGCGAAAAATTTCGGATATCATATTTCAAGGAAAATATCCATTTTGACCTCTATCGAATGCGATTGAACGATGTTTTTGAGTGACACATGCACGTAAGGACAAAATAAAGGACTCTTTTTTCCTCAAACGAATTATAAAACTGATTTAAAAGGGATTCAGAAGAGATTTTTTCTTGGATGTACATGCGTATGTATGTATCTTGCATAACTAAAAAACGAGTAGTCACAGAGTGTTGAAATTTTGTATGTGGGACTGCTATAACATTCAGATGTTCACCAGTGAGCTCAATTTCTTTGTTCTTAATGTTTGTAAATTGCGCATTTTTTGCCTTAAAAATGAATTATGTTGTTATTATCTCCCGGTTAAGGTTTTTATGCCTTTAGTTAACCTGCATGATATAGTTGTATAATTATCAACAATTTAAAAGTTGTTTAAGTACGGCTAAGCCTATTTTTTTAACCGTAGCAGCCATGTTTATTTACATTTGAAACTTTGCAGAATAGTGGGTTTGTTGCCAATCTAGAGAAACTAAGCTTCGCAACAACAAAGTAACGTCTTCTTTTATTATTGAAAATTAAGTTATGCTTAATGCATTCTGGAATTATCATTTAAGTTATTAAATTATCTCATATATTGACTCAGCGTAGCGTCCACAACAAATTAAAACGGTTTCTACTCCTTCAGTGTCTTTTTGCCGAGTGAGACCAAAAGTAAATTTTCAGTTTTGTGAACCGAAAAATCTGTCTTTTTGCCCGCTGGCCAAATTGTTTGTTTTTGCGTATAAACTGTAATTTAAATTTAAATTTTTTTTAAAAAATTTTAACTACATTTTGGTGTTTTATGTTTTCCTATGTCTTTAAGTTTTTAATGAAGATATTTTGTGTTTTTATTATATTTGCCTTGCCGCTAAGTGAGAAATGAATTAGGTAACTGAATGAGAAATACATTTCTAATGATATTCGAGGAAATAAATATTTTATATTAGCAGAAAATACTATCGCCAGTCTGTTTCGGACAAAGCAGAATGTTTACGAGTAACGCATGCGCATTAGGTAAGCAGCACTATCTGTGGAAAACTGTTTATTTTTTATTTGTTTAATTTCTTTTATACATCGTTTTAGATTTATTACAGTATTTGAATAGAACATTTGGCAACGATTAGATAATTCTTGAGATCATATAATTTTTTTTTCATTCTGAGTTATAAAAGTAATGAGATGTAACGCTGTTAAGTGAACCTAGCGCCAAAGTATCGCTATGGTAAATAAATATAGTGAATTTTAAAAAGCTCATTTATTGTATTGTGGTTTATGCGCTATCGACGAAGTAGAATTAATTCAATTCAATAAGTTCAAATGAAATGCAGGAAAAAATGCGTTTAATTTAATATTCCGTACAAGGAAGTCATGTAGTGTACACATCAGATTTTTTAAAATTTAATTTGGGGACTTCATCTCTCTATTTCAAAAACAGAACTATATATCTAAAATGCGCCATTGAAATTAATCATACAATCCTACGTAACGCATAATGCAGATACCTCTTGCCAAATCAAATAATTCTAAGCCAAAACGTTTTAATTCGCAACTGAAACTTGTTGACTCCCTCCCTTCTTCCACTGAATTCCTAAGTACTTTTTCGCTTACGGTTTCCTTCTGGCAAGACGCTCCTCATCCACGTTGCTGCTTATTTGCCTAAGATGGCATCGTAGTTTAAAACCCGTGCACATGGAAATTATTGCATTCAACTACGAATGAAAAAATCTTATCTACAGAAAGATGATCCGATGTGAATTATCCTGCAATAAAATTATGTTCCGAAAATTTCTAGTGATATATGCGCGTATTGTGTGTTTAGTGACGACATCTGAATCTTTCTAATGATGCGTGCCTCCCATGCCAAGTGATTAGTGAAATGTGTACCGTCGAATATTGAAGATTGGTGCTTGAGAGTGTTAATTAGTGAAAAGTGATTATTTTGAAAATTTTCAGTGTTATGATATGTGCAAGGTGATTAAGTGCTTCTAAGTATTATTATTCAGTTTTAATTGATGTGAAATCTCAACGATGGGTTCTACTATTAGGTATGCAAACAAAATCTAAAACAAAAATGTCTACAGAGAAAAGTGAAATTGCGACTGTTAGTATTGATAAATTTCAGTATGCCATCTTTGATGGCTCCAATAATGATATTCTCATAGATAAGTATATTTGACTATTCGGAAAAAAGTGTGAAAATAAGAATATCGGCGAAAGGGATAAATCTTTAATATTTTCACAATGCCTCCGTGGCGAGGCCATAGCATTTTATTTAAGAGAGTGTGTCGAATTAAATTGGAAAGATCTAAAAAATAAATTCCTCACATGATTCTCCACCGCGGAAGCTATTACTTTTAGTGGTTTTTTTGCGGTTACTTACTCTAAATTTGATGACATTGACAAATATATTCGACAAAAATTAAAATATGCCACGACTCTAAATTTAGATGACAAAGTCATAATCGAAGCGTTGAATCACGGGTCTACAAGAGCAGCAGAAAATGTTGCTCACTATGCAAACTACAGTCCAAGACTGGCTTTCAACAGCTAGGAAACTGTTACCTTGTTCAAGTTCGTCTACCTTAAGTTCATTGGCAGAACTTAATTAAACACAAAAAATTCTTAACGCCAGGACCAAGTGTACCACCAAATGTTTTCCAACAAGATTTTTCCAGTCGAGATATAGTTCTCCAAGACCATTTCCTAGATATTTCTGGTGTTCCTCGTCCTGGTTCCTGGTGTTTCCTGGTGTTCCTTGAAACCAGGCATGGAGAAATTTCCAGCCAAGGCCAGTAGTTTATCCGTATAGATCATTTCCTTCTTTAAGTTATTATAATAGTGAAAATTCTAAAAAAAAAAAAGTGCTCCTAAAAATGAAATTATATTAAAATAAAAGTTCAAATTGATCAAAAAGAAATCTCTGCTAGCTGAAAGTATTTAAATTCTATTGATGCAAAAAC